ATTGAAACTTATTTCGCGTTCTGGAGGCAGGGAAATCAATAATGAAGGTTCTGTTATATTCCATGTCTGGTGAGAGCCCAGCATCTCCTTCCAAGACAGCATCTTGTTGCTGCATTCTCGCAAGAGATGGACATCAGTCCTCACATGGCGGAAGAATGGAAGGAGCCACCTAGTTCTTTTCCAAACCCTCTTACAAGGTCACAATCCTATCTCATGAGGGCCCTGATTAATATATGTTAATCACTTCCTAAAGGAACTTAGCTTTAAATCCAATCACATTAAGTAATTAAAATTCAACCTATGAATCTGGAAGAGATACATTCAGACCATACGATTTCACAAGATCAAGAAGGAACATGGGACAAAGGTAATCTTTGGTATAGCCCCAACTCACGCACTGCTGTGAGGTACTTTTGGGAATATTTTTACTTCAAGTCACAGAGCTAAGGCCAGAGACAAGAAAAATCGCAGGAGAGAAGGAAAGCGTAAAATATTCACTGTCAACACCTAGGATATCACAGGATTGTAGGCCCATTGATCATATTTATTCTGTGCAATGCACTGACCTCCAAGAAAAGTAGCAGAAAGAGAGTTTTCTAGATATGGATTCAGAGCCTAGAAACAAATTAAAATTGACTAATCCAGTTCTTCAAGAGTAAATAAAGAGATAAGTGTTTATTTTGCTCATATATTGGATAGTTTTTAGTAGATAGATGGAGGCTTTCTCAATAAAAGCAATTACAGAGCTAAACAAATGGCAGAGACTTAAGTCTAAGAAATCTCCTCTACTCAGGGGCCTCAAGAACATGACCTCAGACATTGGGCAGACTCGTTAGAGAGCTCTCCCACCAGCCACGTGCTACAGCATATGACCAAACTGGGAGGCAGATTTTGGCTCTGCCTGTTCCCCTCTAACCTTCACACCCTTGTCCTCCATCAGAATCTGCTCACAGACAGTGGGACTGTACCCCTTTCTAGGATACTTACTCTTTGGAAGTCTAAGATCTTAGATCATAAGATCAAGACGATCATGTATGTGAGAACTCTTTCTCACATACAACTTTTTTCACTGTCTTTTTATCTGTGTTCAATTCATAACCATGGTCTCATGATTCCCCTCACATCAGAAAAAGGTAAAAACATCTCAGTACTAAAATGTTCTTTGTGGTTAAATGTATAAATAAGTAAAACTCTGAAGATAAGATTTGAAATCAGAGAAAGCATTAGTAGGATAATGTTTTCTTACCTCTCCAAACAACACCCAATCACAGTCTCATAAATCAATTTTTTTCATGCTTTCATGCAGCTTATAATCATGCTGCAAATTTCCTAAAGTTTCTTTTACATAGGACTTCAAAGGCATAATGGCCTGCTTAAGGTCATCCTTCAATACTGAAATCACCAACTGAGGACTTGTGGAGTCAACAGAGCTGATTTGTGGTAAGATTGAAACAAATCACATGAGCATATGGTATTAAAGCAATGTGGTATACAGACAATGATGTTAGCTTACTTTGTAAGAGAATGTAGTAGAAACCTCAGAATACATCCACCTGGTGATAATCAGAAGCAAGTGGACACATGTGTGTAATTTTAAAGTTGTGTTTGTACTCAGAGGGCAAGATCCTGCAATTCTAAGGAAATGGCAAGAATATTAAGATAATGCCAAAATAGTTTTCTCCATTGCTCAGAAACAGGGAAAATGAATATCCACAGTAAACTGAAGAGGCATAGAAAAATCTCAAAAGAATCTTTAACTCCCTAGGAAATTCTTACATTTGGAATGCAATCTGATACAAAGATAGGCAAAAGACTGGAACAGACACCTTGCCAAAGAAGATGTATAGAATGCAAAAAATGAAAAAAGATATTCAACATCACACGCCTTAGAGAATTGCAGGTAACCAAAATGAAAATGAGATAGCACTGCACACCCATTAGAATGGTGAAAATCCACAACACTGAGACACATCAAATGCTAGCAAGAATGTGGAGCATCAAGAATGCTCATCCATTGCTGGTGGGGATGCAAAACGGTACAGACATTTTGTAAGGCAGTTTGACAGTTTCTTATAAACTAAACATTCTTACTTCATATGACCCAGCAATCGTGCTTATTGAATTTACACAAATAAATTGGAAACTTATTTCAAAACCTACTTTTAAGTAGATCCTATTTTCTTTATTTATTTGTTTATTTTTTTTTGAGATGGAGGGGTTTTTTTTGTTTTTTTGTTTTGTTTTGTTTTGTTTTTGTTTTTGTTTTTTGGTTGGTTGGTTTCATTTTGTTTGTTTTGGTTTTGCTTTTTTTTTTTTTTTTTTTTTTTGATGGAGTTTCATACCTTATTGTCCATGATGGAGAGGAATGGCATGATCTTGGCTCACTGAAACCTTTGCTTCCAGGGTTCAAGTGATTATCCTGCCCCAGGCTCCCAAGTGAGTTTGGGATTACCATGGAGATGACCACCATGCCTGGCTAATTTTGTATTTTTATTAGACACGGGGTTTCTCCATTTTGGTCAGGCTGGTCTCGAACTCACGACCTCAGATGATACGCCCACCTCGGCCTCCCAAAGTGCTGTGATTACAGGTGTGAGCCATCATGCCTGGCTGGTTAGATCTATAGGGCTTTATTTCATGATTATCAAAACTTGGAAGAAGTCAAATTGTCTTTCGAAGCGAATGCATAAACAAACTGTGGTACATCCAGACAATGATATATTATTCAGTGCTAAAGAATAAAAAGCTACTGTCAAAAAGAAGACATGAGGAAACTTAATGCAAGAAGCCAAGAATGAAGCGATGCAGTGTGATTCCACCTATATGACATTCTAGAAAAGGCAAAATCCTTTGAGACAGTAAAAGATCAATGGGTTGCCAGGGTCAGAGTGCACAGAGGGTAATGAATAGGTAGAGGATAGAGGATTTAGGGCAGATGGTACTAAATGGTGGTGATATGCCATTATACATTTGTCAAAACTTGAGAATGTAGAAGACCAAGAGTAAACTTTGGACTTTGAGTGATAAAGATGTGTCAATGCAGGTCAATTCATTGTAATAAATGTACCATTCTGTGAGGTGTTGATAGTGGGGGAGGTTAGTGTATGTTTGGGTGTGAGTATATATAAACCTCTGCTGTTTCCCTTAATCTTGTTGTGAAGTTAAAACTATTATAGAAAATAAGCCCCATTTTAAAACTTAAATGAGACAATATATGTAAAGCACCTGATATATAGTAAAGGTCTAATTAATATATTATTAGAGCTCATATGTAGAGCTTTCTAGGTGCAAGAAGTCCCATATGACCTCTTGGTCTGATCTTAACTGATTAGTCTTTAAAATAAAGTTCTAAAGTGGACTTGCTGGGTCAAGTGTGTGAAAGTTTACAATATTTTGTCAGATACTCACTAGAAATTTGTACCAACTTACACTTCAAAAATACCTACTGTTTCCCCACATCTTCACTAACACTTATAACTTGAGTTATTTTAATATTTGCAAACTACTTGTGGCTTTCATACTGGGTTCAATGAAGGGTTCATGTTCTTTGTAACGCAAGAGAAATCCCCATTGCAGAAAAGGCACCTCACTGGAAGTATGACAATCTACCTTTTTTTTGTTGTTCTTAAACATTAGAATTTCCAGAGCTCTTGCATCAGCATAAAGTTTGATTTCATCTGAAAACTCAACTGGGGAAAGATCTACTCCAAGTTCCCTTTGCAGAGTTGAGATTCATGTTTCGCAGGTTATTGAACCTGAAAACCTCAGTTCTGCCTTGACTGCTGGATGCTCTCAGTTCCTTGCCATTTTCCTCTCCAGCATGGCAGCTTTGCTTCATCGTGCCAATGAGAAAGGGAAGTGTAAAAGCAAGAAGGTGTCACCAATACTTTCTAATCTAATCATGGAAGTAACATTTCATCACTTTTGTCCTATTATACTGGCTAAAACAAGTCACCAGTTTCAGCCCATACAAGGGAATGAATACCAGGGGGTAGAGACTCACTGGAGTCACCTAGAGCCTGGCTACTATACCATCATGGTCAATAAAGAAAGAAAGAAAGAAAGAAAGAAAGAAAGAAAGAAAGAAAGAAAACAAACAAAAACAACTTCCAGTGTCTACTTACCCATACCTCTAGGTACCCCTACTGTGCAAGGAGGGTGCTAAGAGTAACCGGTGTTTTATTTTAATTACTACCCTTAACAGCTCCCAAAAGGAAGGGATATGAAATGACAGGGGAAGTGTTAGAGGCATCTGTTTGCTAGAACCATTACCACTCCCAGGCTTAGAAAATACTTCAAAATGTTGGTCATTTCCCCCTTGAAAGTAAACTAACTGCAAATTTTCTCTGCCACAAGATTAATTTTTGAAAACATGAGGCTGTCTCTTCAGAAACTCAAATTGCACAGAGACATTAAAATGGCTAAGAATACAAAAATTTGTAAATAAAAATGATCCTTTGCCTGGGAAATCCCTTCCTTCTTCAAGGGAAGGCACTATGGATACCTCCATGAGCTTTGCTTCTACACAACCCAGGAGAGGTTGCAAGCTGCTCCCAGTGGAGGTGTTACCAGCAGAGACCACACTCCTCTCCCCAGTCCTCCACCAGGCTCCACAGGAAACACCAGGGCAGGGTTTAAAAGGAAGGTTTATCACCTCCACTTTACATAACTGGGTGAACAGAGTCACAGCCAGAATTGGGAAGCAGCTTTCCCAGGGAACACACAATCAGGAAAAGAGTGTGGGTTTCCAGCAGTTCCCCACAACCCACTGTTTGCTCAATGACTCCAGGATGGTCCTTGTGACAAAGTTTTATTAGAGCCCAGTGACATGAGAAAAGTACCAGCAATTTCATATATATTGAAGAGTTTATATTGCCCATATACAAAGGTATACGTGTGTGTGTGTGATGTGAATTCTTCAACTGCCCATTTTTGCCTAAGGACTGGAACTGTCCATATTCGCAGAGTATAGCCTCCCGATTTTTCAGATTTCAAACGATCTGACTTCAATGCTACTGATTACAAATTATAATTTTTCAATACCTTTACTTGGCAAAATAAAAAGTGATAACCCTAGGTCCCTTTGCAAAGTTAAAGTACACACACACGTCCATGAAACACAAAAGTCTAGAAATTCTTACCTCCAGAACCCACATGTCAGTTCCTCTTCATTTCGATGTTTTTCCTATGGCTGTAGTATGACCCGATCTCAGTCAGAGACACAGAAGAATGTGCCCTCAGTCTGTTACAACCATTATGTTTGGCAGTGGGGAGTGGGGCACATGGATCTGTGCTTGTGGTTGGACCCTCTTAGGGATATATACTGACACTGACAGTATACTCTTCGTGGGCAGGTACCCAGCTCCTGTTAGAGGCCTGTGTCCAAGCTAGTGTGCCAGTCTTCATCTACACCAGTAGCATAGAGGTAGCCGGACCCAACTCGTACAAGGAAATCATCCAGAACGGCCACGAAGAAGAGCCTCTGGAAAACACATGGTCTGCTCCATACCCATACAGCAAAAAGCTTGCTGAGAAGGCTGTGCTGGCAGCTGATGGGTGGACTCTGAAAGACGGTGGCACCTTGTACACTTGTGCCTTAAGACCCATGTATATCTATGGGGAAGGAAGCCAATTCCTTTCTGCTGGTATAAATGAAGCCCTGAACAACAATGGGATCCTGTCAAGTATTGGCAAGTTCTCCACTGTCAACCCAGTCTATGTTGGCAACGTGGCCTGGGCCCACATTCTGGCCTTGAGGGCCCTGCAGGACCCCAAGAAGGCCCCAAGTGTCCGAGGACAGTTCTACTACATCTCAGATGACACGCCTCACCAAAGTTATGATAACCTTAATTACACCCTGAGCAAAGAGTTCGGCCTCCGCCTTGATTCCAGATGGAGCCTTCCTTTATCCCTGATTTACTGGATTGGTTTCCTGCTGGAAATAGTGAGCTTCCTTCTCAGGCCAATTTACACCTATCGACCACCCTTTAACCGCCACATGGTGACATTGTCAAATAGTGTGTTCACCTTCTCTTACAAGAAGGCTCAGCGAGATCTGGCATATAAGCCACTCTACAGCTGGGAGGAAGCCAAGCAGAAAACCGTGGAGTGGGTTGGTTCCCTTGTGGACCGGCACGAGGAGACCCTGAAGTCCAAGACTCAGTGATTTAAGGATGACAGAGATGTGCATGTGGGTATTGTTAGGAGATGTCATCAAGCTCCACCCTCCTGGCTTCATACAGAAGGTGACAAGGGCACAAGCCCAGGTCCTGCCTCCTCCCTTTCACCGAATGGCCAACTTATTGTCTTCCTCATATCATCAAAACCTGCGGAGTCACTCGCCCAACAGGAAGCTTTCTGTCTTAATCATATACCAGAGGAAAGACCATGTGATTTGCTGTTACCAAATCTCAGTAGCTGATTCTGAACAATTTGGGATCTCTTTTAACTTGACTGTCTCTTTTGACTACCATAGCTCCATTTCCCCTCTTAAATGAGAAATGATTTCCTTTCTTTTTAATCTTCCATTTCTTCACATAGTTTGATAAAAAGATCAATAAATGTCTGAATGTTTAACATGGAGGGAGGTGTGAGTTATGTTAATACATACTTTCCTCCTTTCTCCTTCTTTTTCAGGTGTTGCCATCTCCAATTTAGAAGAGTAGAATAAAACCTGGGCTGGGGAGAGGGCAGAGTAGTAGGAGGGCCAGAAAGCGCGGATGAAGACTGAATAAGCTCTACTAACTTTCAGGCATGTACGACATGACCTACATATGACATATATTATCTCATTTAATACTCATCAGAAACCTATCTGGTGGGGGTGACTAATCCCATTTTACCACTGAGGATACTTGTTCACAGTCACACTAACTGATTAGCGGCTATGTCTGCTACCAGGGAGTTGGCCTTGAAAGCAGTTATCTTTCCACGGAATCATGCAGCCTGAACTGGTCTTGTCAGTGGTACAGCAGAGCACTGGAGCATGGGGTACCGATACTTGGAAGAGACCCATCTCCCTTGGGTTACCTCCTTCTTGCCCAATCCCATGCAGGGGACTCTCTGGAACCCAGGAGAATCCCTGGGGAGCATCTGGAAGGGTTTGAATGTCTTACCAAAAGGCCCTGAGCAGGGGTGAGTGAAGCAAAAATGCCTCCAGCCTCCACCTTCAGTGCCGATTTCCTTGAAGGTCTCTAGAACACACCTGGCTATATGTGTGTTAGTCATTCTGATCATACATAACCCTGCATTTCACCCTCTCAAATCACACAGTGAAGCCACACCATGTGTTCCTGGGCAAGTAAAGGGAACAATTAAAAATTCCCCCAAAATGTGCTTTCTATTCAGCCCAAGAATAGAAGTCTACTGTCCCACATCCCCAGATTTAACTGCCTCTCTCTTCTTTCTCCTGTCTTGAGATCACATCCTTTCCTCCTTTATTCTTTCATCTCCTTAGCCTCTTTCCTTCCCTCCAAATCCCCTTAAATCATTGACTCTCTCATTCTTCTCAATTTCCCTGAGGAGAGGAGACCAGTCAAGACAAGCTTGGGGACTTCGATGATGACACAGTCATTAACCAACCAAAGGAGCAACAGTCAAAAACAAAAACAAAAACAAAAACAAAACCACTGTCAAGGCATCAGTGACAGAGCTGAACTGAAGCGGGTGAGGAAGTTGCTGTGGGTCCAGAGTGTGGGGAGAGGAAAATTGTCTCCCTCTGGACCTGGGTGTATCACAGTCATGATGAGATCATATCCAACTTCAAGATGGCTTCTTTCTCACACACGAAATTTACAGAATATTAATCAGTTGAATTTGATTACTACAAAAAGATAGTTTCAGTACTCATTCTGAAGGGAAAAGGTAAACACATTCTGGTCCAGAAGAACAGGTTCCCACCACCATTAACATGTCAAGAGTCAGATAATCAGCACCAGCATCGGGGGGAGTGGCCCCAGGCAGTGGGGTAACATGGAAAATGGAACACCCATCCTTTCCCAGTGCTTCACAAAATGCAAGAGCCAGCATCTGTCCAGCTCTTGAAATGTATGCACACTGTCTATATGTTAATGCAAAATAGCAGTGGAAGGAAAGGAAGGTGGTGAAATTTTGGAAAAGGGCCCTTTTGGGTCCCTTTTCTCCACCTGGGTGGCTCTGCAAGGTAGCTGGCAAAGGAATGAATGAAAGCACCAGCCAGCACAGCCTGAGCTTTTGCTGAATGTACCATCTTGCCCTAGCATAACATGTGAAACCTTGATATGAAGACATTTCCCCTGTCCACCTCCCACCCCCTGCAGCCCCCAGCCCAAAATTCCTAAAGTCATACTTACAGTTGGCAAAATAATTCACCACAAGCAGGTCGGGCAGGCAGGGAACAAAATCAGCCTTCACCTTCACCCTTAAATGGTGTTGAAATGTGTAAGCATCTCTATCTCTCTCATGCCTGTCTCCCTAGCACTGAGCACTATGCCTGGCACTTGCCCACTCAGCTGAGGGGTGAACTTCCCAGGAGCTCTGCTCCTACTGAGACATAGCCTTGGTTCCCGGGGAAGGCCAGCCATTCACAGATGGTATCAGAACACCCAGGCAGAAACACTCCCTACTTCAGCTATAGTAGGTCCAGAAAGGCATCTCAGTGGACTGTCTTCAGTGAATAAAAAGAATGCATGGAACTACTTTCATTGAATCCCTGGTCTCCAGGAACTGAACTCTGTCAATCCTTTTACTTGTGTTGAACGTTCTTCAAATAGATGTATGGGAATGCCAGCTTGAACGCAGCATATACAATGATACCTTTTTCAAACTTCTTAAACAGAGGGAAACATGGGATATGGAACAACTTGCTGCCCACCTCATTGACTTCCAAAGCTGAGCACTCCCAGCTCCGGAATGAGGCAGGGCACCAGCTGGGTATAGAGAGCACTGAGAACTGTGGCCTGGATCTCAGGGGAGCAGATGGAAATTGAAATCCATTGGAATGTGCTTTGGGTTAGTGGAGATGACCTTGACAACACAGTCTGGCAGCAGAAAACTGCAATCTGCGTAGCACTTGAGATTGTGACAGGGAGACAGGGGAACAAGCATTAATAGCAAAGTTAGAGATAGCTGGGCACTAAGGCTCATGTCTATAATCCCAGAATTCTGGGAGGTCAAGGCAGAAGGATCACTTGACCCTAGGATTTCAAGATCACCCTGGGCAACATAGGGAGACTCCATCTTTACAAAATTAAAAATGTATTAAAAGCCAGTCAGGGCTTGGTGGTGTGCACCTGTGGTCGCAGCCACTCCCAAGGCTGAGGTAGTAGAATCACTTGGCCTGGGAAGTTGAGAATCACGCCACTGCACTCCAGTACTCTGGGTGACAGAGAAAGACCCTGTCAGAAAATAAGAAAACAATAAAGAAGAAAAAATGGTTAGAGGAAAAAAAGAATGTCTGAATGAATAATGTCAGCACTGGATTCCCCATGATCTTTTGCTACTTGCCACACTCTGTTCTCCATACAGAGAGATGTTTTTAAGTAAATTCAAATCCTATGTCCCACCTATATAAAACCTTTCTGGGGCTTCCCATTCCATTTACTATAGACTCCAAACTGATCTCCAGCTCTCCCGGACACTGCATGATCTGCTCATCCTTCCAGCTCATGTCCTCATCACTCTCCCTTTTACTCATGATGCCTCAGCCAGATTGGCCTTCCTTCTATTCCATAAACAAGCAAATCTTTCTTGCTTTTGGATCTTCACATTTATCATTCCCTTTACATAAAATGGTGTTCCTCATCTTCTCATGGTTGGCTCTCTGTTGACATGTAGCTCTCAGCTGAACTGTCACGGCCCTGATGAAGTGAGACGTCCCTGTCCATCCTCTCCCGAATAGGCTCTGCTTCACTCATCACATCACACTGTTTCTCCCCTCCTAGCTGTTACCACAACCTACAACTAACTTACCTGTTGTCTGTTTTATTGTTTATCTGTACCTGCATAGAGACCTTAGACAGTCTTGCTCCCTGCTACATTCCCAAGAACCTAGAATCATGCCCAATGTCATAGAAAGTCCCATAAATATTTATTAAATAAATTAATCCAGGAAGGCAAAGCTGGATCAAATACATCAGCACATCTGGAGAATTATAGCAGTCAGAGGAGGAAAACAGTGAGTTAGGATGGAACGCAGCAGAATGGGTCACTACCCAAGCCAACAGACCTGAAAAGTCTCCTATCATTCCTCAACTGGACAGTTTCCTGCATGAACCCATGCCATAGTGCAGGTCCACTTTTGCCCAGATTAACCCACAGAGCCAAGAGTTGGGTCAAAGAAACATTCGCATGGAAAACACCAAAAGAGAAAGCAGTCCCACAAGGAGTTGCTCTGGTAGTAACTTTTAAGGCCTATTTGTTTAACCCAAATATATGTATAGGACGTATACCACCCACATATTTGTACAGGAAAAATAAACTACCATTGTACAGCTCTGCTTTCACATGACTGTAATTCAGAACACAGAATTCAGGAAAGTGAACATCAAACTTTCAAATCAGCAGTCAATTAAAAAATTGTTTTTCATAAAGTGTCTGATTCAAAGCAGCTCCTTTGATTCCTCTCAGAACAAAAGATCTTAAAAGAGCAGATCAGTAATGACTGAAACAGCCAGTGGATTATAATTTTTTTCACATCCTTTATATCTCTAGGAGATAACTATGGAACGTTGCACCCTGGACAGAAGAGCAACACTTATAAAATATTTCCCAACAAAAATCATACTCTATCTATTTTTTAAGTTATTTTATTTTTTATTATACTTGAAGTTATGGAATACATGTGCAGAATGTGCAGGTTTGTTACATAGGTATGTACACGCATGCCATGGTGGTTTGCTCCACCCATCAACCCGTCATCTACATTAGGTATTTCTCCTAATGCTATCCCTCCCTCTGTCCCCATCCCCTGATAGGCCCTGGTGTGTGATGTTCCCCTCCCTGGGTCCATGTGTTCTCATTGTTCAACTCCCACTTATGAGTAAGAATATGCTGTGTTTGGTTTTCTGTTTCTGTGTTAGTTTGCTGAGAATAATGGTTTTCAGCTTCATCCATGTCCCTGCAAAGTACATGAACTCATTCTTTTTTATGGCTGCATAGTGTTCCATGGTATATATGTGCCACATTTTCTTTATCAAGGTTATCATTGATGGGCATTTGGATTGGTTCCAAGTCTTTGCTGTTGTAAATAGTGCCGCAGTAAACATACATATGCATGGGTCTTCATAGTAGAATGATTTATAATCCTGGCCAGGCGCGGTGGCTCAAGCCTGTAATCCCAGCACTTTCGGAGGCCGAGACGGGCGGATCAGGAGGTCAGGAGATTGAGACCATCCTGGTGAACACGGTGAAATCCCGTCTCTACTAAAAAATATTTAAAAACTAGCCAGACCAGGTGGCTGGAGCCTGTAGTCCCAGCTACTCGGGAGGCTGAGGCAGGAGAATGGCGTAAACCCGGGAGGCGGAGCTTGCAGTGAGCTGAGATCCCCCCACTGCACTCCAGCCTGGGCGACAGAGCGAGACTCCGTCTCAAAAAAAAAAAAAAA